AGAAGAAACTGCAGCCCATAGGGAGTGGGTGAGGAGGCCGGACCCAGCGCTGCCTCTCAGGAGCCTCGTGTCTGCAGCTCCAGGAGCTCCTGCACCTACACCCCCTCCCTGTGAGACTCAGGTGGGCGGGATCTCACACCCAGGTCCCCGAGTCCCTCCCTGGAGCTTCCCCGGGGCTAGCTCACACCCCCTCCCCAACTTCTCCAGGATTCTGCAGACGGGGTCATGGGGTCCACAGAGACCCACAGGCCTCCTGCTCCCCAGGCTCCTCCTCCTGCCCCCGGCCCACGCAGACACCAGCGGTTTATTCATTTATTTGTTTTTATCTCGAGATTCTGGGACCTTACATGGGCCGTATTCCTGGTGGACAAGCCAGGATCCGGAATGCAAGTCAAGGACACAGGGGGCATCTTCCGGCTAATGTCATGGGCACCCAAGGGCTGGCTCCTGGAACCTGACCCCCAGGCCATGCAGGATGAAGGAGCATAAATTTAGGCAGAACCACATTCTGTGAAAGGGAAGGAGAGCAAAAAGCAGAATAGCATCAACCTAACAAATGAGCAGAAACGAAAGGCTCCAATAGGCTCCAAACTGGATGTAGGATCCCACCACTTTCCCGCTGTAGTCCTTCCGCCTCCAGTGCATTCTCGGCCCAGAGCGGGACGCCTGTTAGAGCACGAGTAGGCCACTCTGCCCCTGCTCAACCTCCTGCGTGGACTGCATCTGATGCGGGGGGGGGGGGGGCTGGTAGAGCTAAGTCCCTTCTATGGCTCCCCTTGAGGCCTGCCACTCTGTCACCTCTCTGACCTCACACCCCAATACAGTCCCTCCACTTCTCCCTCCTCCCCTCCAGCCACACTAGCCTCCTGCGCAAGGAACCTTGGCATGAGGCTGTGCCCTTTGCTAGAAGGTCCTTTCCTCCCACCTACACCTCCCCTTGCTCCCACACTCCACATTCTGTAGCCCCTTCTCTGCATGACTCTTCTCCTTTGCACTAATTATTATCCAACCGGCTACATGTCATATTAACTTAGCCCATCTGTCCATCTCCCAGGACACGCTGGCTCCTCCAGGCTGGGGGTTTGGTTTCTGTGTTCTTGCCCAGTGAGTGCCCAGCACCAGCACATGGTTAAGGGCAGCGTGGTGGCTGCAAGAGTCACTGCTGCTCCATCGGGGACGGGTCGGGGCCAGGACTGCCATGTCATTGATTGACTATCCGTACAGCAGTCTAATCAGTCAGATACTTAGGGGAGCGATTATCATTCTGAGTACAGAATCAGCCAGGCGGTGAGAGGCCTGTCCCACCGGGCGGCACGTGCACAGTCACAGACCCGCACCCTCCAGTCAGCGGGCAGCAGCACCACCCGCTAGAAGGAGGTGACTTGAGAGGGCTGGGTCAGATGACAGAAACACGTGGCGAATAAATAGGCACCAAGCTCATGAATGAGCCATCTGTCTGGTGGTAGGATTTCCACGCCGGGCAGCACACCAGCCCCACAAATGGGTGGCTAGATCCGTCCAAATAGCATCAGAACATTCAACAACAGAGTTCAACGTAATCATAGTTATCTTTCCAGGGTTTAGGGGACACATTATCACAATTGTGAGTCAAGTGACTAACTGTCATCACCCCCCACACACACACTTAAAGGCCTCCTGGCTGCCCCCCATCTCACTTATAAACCAAGTCCCGTGGTGCCTGGCTCTGACCGGTCCCCTCACTGCACTGGAGTCGAGGGCAAGGCCATTGCCATTCCTTGAGACCCTCACAGAGTGACACATCCTGGACTGTCTGTCCAAAGGCCGAGGAAGACGGTTCACCCAAAGATGATGACCCCGCCTTCCCCAGGGCTCCGGCCCGGCCCATGCCGCAGGCGGCCCTGGACCAGAAGTCTCCCAGGGACTGTGCTCCAGCTGGGCCGGGTGGCAGGGAAGGGCGAGGCAGTGACCGTGGCTGTGGTCAGCCGAGCTTGGGCAGGCCCGGAGGGAGAGCCCCCTGTGTGCACCAGGCACACTCTCCGTCAGCAAAGCCCAGGCATTCAACAGACGGAGGCAGGGGCTGGGGACTCACTCAGAAGGAAACAGTAAGTGCCTCACTCTCCAGCTGGGTGAGCACCCGCTTCCCGAAGCCACAGGCACTGAGACCACTTGGCCCGCCGGCAGCTCATGTCCACTGGGGGAGCCTTGAGAACTGGGGAGCCGCAGAGGCAGTCACATGGGATCCGCAGGTCACATCGGCCTGAAGTCCCTCCTTCCCCCCCTGCTTGCTCCACACGCCCTGGAACAGTTAGTGGGGGGGGGGGGGCGGAGGGGGGTTAGAAAAGGGCTTAAACCAGCAAATAGCCGGTGGCAGGGTAACCATTGCTTTGGCGACATTAAGGACAGAAATAAAATTACCATTTCAGCTCCGGGGGCAGGGAGAAGAGGGGGTCACCCCCAAGAATGTACAGAAAACTTAGGGGAAGGGTGTGCCTGAACGAGAAGAATTCTCACTTCCTATTCGAACTGAATGAACAGGGAAAGGGGAGCCGAGGGACATTTCCGAGTGCTAAGTGGTGCTTGGGTTTGGGTCATGACCACAAATGGCTTAGGGCCCGGTGCCAGCCAGGTGCTGGCTGAGGATTGCCTGTCCACCTGGAGAGGTCGCTGTGCGCCGCTGTCAGCCTGGGGAGGTGGCCAACCCTGCAGCAGCCAGAGGGGGTCGCTAGCTACGGGCACTGGTCCAGAGGGCACATGGAGATTTGGCCCTGTCCCCGAGGCGGCTGGAGTCCAACGGAAGAAGAGGAGAGTGTGCCTTAATGTGGGAAGGAAGGAGGGGGAGCGCACACAAGGGAGAGGAAGAAGGGGAAAGGGAGAAAGGAGGGGAGGAGGCGGAGGGGGAGGGGGAGGGGTGGGGGAGAGAGGGAAGGAGGCGGAGGGAGGAAGAGGAGGAAGATAGGAGGAGGGAGAAGGAGAGCGGAGGGAGGAGGGAGGAGGCAGGAGGGAGGCGGCGGCCGCGGGCGGAGCGCGAGCCAGGACGCGCGAGCCGGCGGAGGCGGCGACTGATCGGCCGGGGCGCGCGGCGCTCTGGTTGGCTG